GCTGACTATTTTGCAATCCCTTGGACCCACCCTAGGATTAAGAGTGAGATTATCTGATTGCCTTTGGAGCCGGATGGGAATTTTTGGCTTGCATCCTAATTGGCAGTTGGTTGTGGGTGTGTTTTAACCCATCCCATTCTCATCTACAGGGTGTGGCTATAAATGCCATGGATGTAATGGTTGGTTAAAATTCCTTTCGGTCACAGCTTTGGGTAATGTGATAAAAAAGCTTGGGTGAGTTCTGGATTGACACATGGTACCAAAAAAATTGGCCATCTCTCTGTCAGGTTGTGACAATAGGCTATCAGATGAGAGGTGGTTTTACATGGTATGATCTCCCAGCCAACTGCCCGCTTAGAGTCACGAGGCTTGGTGGGTGGAGTGGGTTGGGTTCATAGAGCACCTGAAGGTTATCTGTACAGCGGACAGCACGATTCAGAAATAGGAGCTCGCCCTGCTATAGGAAATGTCCGGAGATCTAGGATTATCCATACATGGAAGAATATCACACTCGGAAGGTCCCCTTACATTTGGGGTGATATGACTTTAAATAGTCAGTAAAGTTGTAGCCCAAATTTTAAACCCAACACCTAGGAAATGTCCGGAGATCTAGGATTATCCACACATGGAAGAATATCACACTACGGAAGGTCCCCTTACATAGTCAGTAAAGTTGTAGCCCAAGTTTTAAACCCAACACTGAAGATTTTCAGTTCCTATGGGAGCCTACTTAGATAGAATTTTGTACATATGTGTCCTCATTGCAGAAGTCTGCAGATGGTTGGTTGGTTGGTTGGTTGGTTTTAACATACCACCCCATTAGTGCAAGCACTACTCTTTGCAGTTTACAAGTTGAAACTTAAAACCCCATGTACATTCAACAATATGGTGATACACATGCATAAGGTATAATATTCATTTATATATATATATACAGTATGTATATGTATATGCATATGTATATCTATATATATATATGTATACTGTATGTATACTGTGTGTGTATATATACACACACACACAGCATACATACAGTATACATATACATACATACATACATACATACATACATACATACATACATTGTAGACAGAAATGTAAATGTACATATATATATATATATATATACTGTATGTATACTGTGTGTGTGTGTATATATACACACACACACAGCATACATACAGTATACATACATACATACATACATACATAAGAAATATATATATCAGGACAGTCACCTATTTGTCTGAAATCACTGAACATCCCTATTTTTAAACTTTTTGTGCGTTATAAAATGGATGCTTAACTACCATGTGATTTTGTCAACAACGTTTATGAATATAGAACAAAATTGGATTTTCTACTCTTCCCTCTGTTAGGAGAAGCTTTGATTGAGCATTTCCAATGCTGGAGTATGGTTCCTGGTGAAACACTTTGAACAGCACACCAACAGTAAATAGAGTACAGGTTTATGAATATGGTTTCTTTAATTAAGATACAGACATAAATGGCAAGTCTCTCTTCTTTGTGTGTGGATGTGTTTTTCAGTTAGCAATGCTTTGGAGAAGCTGAGCCATGGAATGTCAGACCTTTCCTAACTGGAAGAGAGAACTCTGGCGGAAGGTTCTTATAATTCATTTTTCTCAAAGGCACTCTCTCTCCCCCCCCTCCCAATTTTGTACTTCTTTCTTCAGACCCTGACAGAAAAATGGGGAGGAGAAGAAGATGAAGAAAAGGTTGAAGAAGTAGTGGAATAGGGAGAAATTAAGAGTGGAAGTGAAGGAGAAAGATCAATATTTTTTCCTGTGAATTGCAGCATGGGAAATTTGGAGCTCCCTGGCTTTGGACAACCCCGTTCCATAATAAACTTCATGATAGCTGAATCTTCTGCTAGTTGAAGTCCAAAATGTAGAGGCCAAGCCTGGGATATTCATTTTCCCTTAGGGCCTGCAGGGAGTTCCACATAGTGTTTTCCGTTGTAAACAGAAACATCTTCAGACAACTTAGAATCTAGAAAGATTCAAGGCCAAGTCATAATCATGTACTGTATATGTTATTTTACCCATGAGTTGTCTTGTGTGATAGAAATAATTACAAATAGGTCCCTGAAGGAAGCAAGTTAAGCAGAAGATAAACTTTTGCTGGAAGAACTGGAGAAGAAAAGATGACATCACCACATATCTCCCTCTTAACAAGTAACAACTCTCCAGTATTTATTAAGGAAACGGAATAAAGCAAAATAACTGATAGCTACTGTATTTTTTTTTTCACCAGGTGTAACTGGGCCAGATGATTACACAAGGGTTTCATGCCACCCCCTGCTCCTTTTTCCATATTAGCATTAATTTTGTTCCACAGATTTAATTTCCAGAATTACTTCATAATTGACAGCCATTTCAAGCACACTCAAATGGATTAGGTGCAAGTGTATGGTGCAAGTAAGTATTGATCCTCCCCTTCTTCCTTCTGTCTTTCATGATAACTTCAGGGATAGTGTTTTCATTTCCAGGTTGTCTCAAATTGTCATTAAACAACAGAGAACATAGAGCTTTCCTTTCCTAGTGACTGATAAGCTGTATTTTCTTCTTGCATTCAATGCCATGTACATAGAGGCAGGATGTTAAAGTAACGGAGCACATTTCAGTTGCCCTTGATATCCTTTTTTTTGGCTGAAAAGGATGGGAAATATGATCAACAGTATATCTCAAAAATTTCTGCTCCTTCTTCTGAACATGGATGAGACAGATTTATAGAGCTTGATTCATGTGAATCTACATGGAAGTTGAAAAGATGTCAGAAATGCTTCCTTTTTATGGGATGGGTTGATGTGCCTATTATAATTGTTTGGCAGGAAAAAATAAAATACTGTAGGATGATCTTTCCCTGCCATTGTATGCATTTGCTAACAAAAGGTCGTGGTTATTGTATCTCTTCCTTTCATGCACAGAGGCTAGACCATTAAATATCATAGTTTTTTCCCCCTCCATCCTTCTCTCTAAAATGTTGAGTTCTGGGCTTAAATCTGATGTGGAACTCAAATGTCACACATTTTCAGTTGAACTGCTGGATAGTTTAGTTATTTAGGTATGTAATTGAGAGTTCTATTTCCATTTGTGCCTCCTTGACTTGACTCAATGATCCATAGGGTTATTTCCAGCTCTGCAGCTGTAAGATTCCTTCTTTATCACATTCATACATAATTTTGTGCATATAGAGTGTGCTTTAATTCTGCCTACCGACAAAATGCCTACCTTTCTGCCTACCGACAAAATGCATAGAAACAGCTATTTTTAAAAGACTACATAGAACTGCATCAAGATTATTCTCTACAGTGTTTTGCCAGTGCACTCATACTGTGGCAGAAGTGATATGTTCTCTGTGTTAGCTGACTCCCATCACATTAAGGCTGATTTGGGATAACCATCACACTCTGACAAAAATGTTTTTTCTAAGTATGGAATAACTTACCTCCGGAGATTGGTGCTGCACCATCACTGGGTACTTTTAAGAACCAACTAAAAACGTGGATGTATAGGCAGGCCTTC